GACACAACCTCAGGTTCTCTGTCTGTTGAATTGTCTGAGCCCTTCCAGGCAGAACAGTAACATTGGGCATTTACCCTTATAAAGGAGACCCTAGACAATCCTTAGTTTCTTTCTAGCACTTTCCAGAGGAGAAAATGCAGCTTCCTTCCTCTACGTAGCCAATGCTACCCTTGTGCCTCTCCTTTGCCTGCCCTTGCCTCGTTCATAGTGCTTGGCAGTCAAGCCTCCTTAGCCCTCCATTCTATGGCTTTCCAGAGTTTTGAGGAAAAGAGAATTAAAAAAATATATATATATTATTTATTTTTATTATTTTATGTGTATGAGTGTATTGCCTGCATGCATGTGAGTGCACCCGTATCATGCAATGCCGTGGAGGTCAGAAGAGGGCTTCAGATTCCCCCAGAACTGGAGTTAAGGACGGTTCGTAGCCACCATGTGGGTGCTGAGAATCGAACCTGGGTCCTCTGCAAGAGCAGTCAGTGCTCTTAACTGCTGAGCCATCTCTCCAGCCCCAGAAAAGATTATGTTCCTTGAGTGCTGAGAATAAAGGCTTTTGCCTCCGTGCTGGGCCTGGGGAAGAGACATGTTTATCACACAAGAGGCCAAGGGACATTTTTGACACAGCTGGACACACATTTTTGACCCTAGAGCAGAGCAAGATGTCCATTGAGTGTTTGGTTAATAAATCCAAGTGCCTATAGAAACAGAAATACCCCCACGTTCAGCTCTCGAAGGGGTGGACTGGTAAGTACGGGTCTCTCTGCTGGAGCCCTGCTTGTTTGATCACTCCTGTGCTTCAGCCTTGGATGATACAGGCATGACATGTGTGACAAAAGTTGTGATGAGGTGGGTCACAGAGGAGAGGTGGACTTCATCCCACAAAGGAGACCAGGTAAGAAGTCACCAGAGAGGAAAATACCAGCACAAGCCTGGTCCTCCTTCCCTCCTTTCAGCCCAGAGTCTTAAAGGTTAACTGGGACAGTACAAAGGCTAAGATGATTTTTGCCCTTCAGAAAGACTTATATCTTGAGGAAGTAGTAAGACAATAAGTCAAAGGGAGTGCAACCACTAAGCAAAGCAGTTGGGCTGAGGTATCAGTCTTCCCACCTGTGTTAGACTTTTCACTGTGGTGACAAATCAGTGAGAGTAATAGCTGCGGGGAGCGGGGTACTTTAGTCTCTGGTTATAGTTCATGGCTGGTTGTCTCCATTACTTAGGGCTGAAGGTGAGGCTGAACATCATGGCAGCAAGAGTGTGCTATAGACACTGCTCACGTCATGGTGGCCAGGGAGCAGAGAGGAGCAACAGGAAGGGTATGTCTTAGGTAGCTTTCGATTGCTGTGATAAAAATACTGACCAAGGAGCTGGAGAGATGGCTCAGTGGTTAAGAGCGGCTACCAACTGCTCCAGTTCCAGGGGATCTGACACCCTCTTCTGACTTCCGTGGGCACTGCATGACATGGGTGCACTTATATACATGCAGGCAATACACTCATACACACACAATAAAACAAAACACTGACCAAAACCAACATGGGGAAGAAAGGGTTTATTTGGCACACAGCACAGTTCATCATCAAGGGAGGAACTCAGGGCAGGAACCTGGAGCACAGACCATAGAGGAACGCTGTTTACTGGCTTGCTCCCCTGGCTCGTGCTCAGTCTGTCCCCAGCTGTCCTGGAACTCACTATGTAGACCAGGCTGGCCTTGAACTCACAGAGATCCGCCTGCCTCTGCCTCCCAAGTGCTGGGATTAAAGGCGTGCACCACCACGCCCGGCCGGTCTGCTTTCTTATACAACACAGGCCCACCTGCCCAGAGGTGGGACTGCCCACAGTGGGCTGGATCTCCCACATTACTCAACAGTCAAGAAAATGCCCCCACAGATATGGCCACAGGCCAGTCCAATGGAGGCAATTCTCCAATTGAGGCTCCCTCTACCCAGGTGTGTCAAGCTGACAACTAAAGCTAGCCAGCACAGGGACAGAGCAAGATACATTCCTAGTGATGGACTTTCTCCAACCAGCCCCCACCTGCCACAGCTCAACCACCTCCCAGCAGGCTATTCAAGTTGTGGATGTATCAGCGGATGGCGGATGAGCACTCATGATCCAATCACTTCCCTAAAGCCCCACCTCAGAGCACTGCTTGCATCAGGGACCAAGCCTTGGAGCTGTCTGGGAATACTTCATATCTAAAGCATAAAGCATACACCACCTTTGCCCACACTGCAGCAGGTGATCCTGCCTCTGCCAAGCAGGGCTGCTTTGACACAGGTGAACCCCACACCCCTCAGGACCACTGAAGGCCTGGCAAGGAGAAGTATCTTTGAGAGTACGCGTTACAGACAGCATGATAAAGCTGTTTTCTCCACAGATGACATAGTAAAGTCAGATGATGAGTTTTTTTTTTTCAGGAATGATCAGACAGATACAACCTGTGCACCTTACGTAATCAGCACGTCAATGGCAAACAAGGCCCCAGCCTGAAATATTCCAGCAACAAATGACCCACAAGACCCTGGGGTGGTGGTAACAATTTGCTTTTCTGTTTGTTCTGCTTTGAAGACAGGCTCTGATTGTGTCTCTCAGGCTGGTCTGGAATGTGTGATCCTCTGTGTCTTGCCTCCAGTTACCAACTGAATGATTTTGTTTCCTACAAATTCCTATGTGAAATTTTAGCCCCTAATTGATGGGAAGAGGAAGTGAGGCCCCGGGAGCTGAGAACTTTCTAGGCTTGCTTTCTGGCACAGGAAGAGGTTGGAAGTTTACAACCCCACCAGGGCCCTCATCAGAACCTGGTCTCCTGGGCATCCTGCCCTGAGACTTCCAGCCTCCAGAACTGGAGAGGTAGGCTTCTGTTGTTTATGTGTCACCCAGTCTCTGGTGCTTTGTTAGAGCAGCACAAACTGATGAAGGCACTCCTTAAACGTGGAGTTATGAAATTGCCCCATTCCTGCTGCACATCCCTGTGTAAGTCTGAGGACTTGTAACATAAAGGGAATGTCACTCCCCTGATTACATACCTGGCAATGACCTTAAGAATGGGAGACAGAGCCAAATGTGGTGTTCATCATCTGGAGGTTGAGGCAGGAAGATCACAAGTTTGAGGCCAATGTGTACTGCATAGTAAGTTCCAGGCCAGTCTGCAGAATGAGTGCCTGATTTAAAAAAACAAAACAAAAACTGATAGAGTGCTTACCTAGCAGGCACAAGCCCCTGGGTTCAATTTGACAAAACAAAGCAACAAACTGAAGCATGGTGCCACAAAGCATGTAATGTCGGCACTTGGGAGGTAGAGGCAGGAGGATCAAGAGTTCAAGATCAGCCTCAGTTACATGAGTTTGATACCATGCTATGTTACATGAGCCCATGTCACAAACGAATTGGAAATCATTCTGGTAGAGCCTGACCTAACTAGAGTAACCCTTAAAAGGGACAAAGGGACCAAGATTATTATTATTTTTCTTTTTGGGACAGTCTTCCTGTAGCCCCAGCTGGCCTGGAACTCACTGGCTTTGAACTCACAGAGATCTGCCTGCCTCTGCCTCCCGAGTGCTGGGATCAAAGGTGTGCACCACCATGCCCAGCAGGACCAGGATTTTCCAAAAGGGCAGATTGAGGCATGGGAGGGGTGCTGGACAAATGGAATTTTCTGCTGATGGCTTGGCATGGCAGACATGGCAGGCCGCCCCTAGGGTTGACTGTCCTTTGCTGTCAGCAAGAAAATGGGATTCTCAGTCCTCAAGGAACTAAATTCAGCCAACATTGAATGACTTTGGGAGTCCCACAGTGACCCTTAAAGGCCATTTTGTTCCAGTCTTGTCTTTAGCAGAGGACTGCAAGTGCTCTCCCCTGTAATTGCCAGCTGAATGAACAGGTGTGATCTCTTCAGAAGCAAACCTAGGGCACATCACAGAGTCTCCACCAGCCAGGACAAATCCCCTTTAGCAGTGTATCAATGCCAGTGTCTGCTGGGGTGGGACCACCTTAGCTCTGCTTCTGGAAAAAAGGAGCAGAAGCAACTTTTCTAAGGTGGCTTTGACCCCAGGCTCTCAAACTCCTTTCTCAAGCAAGGCTGGCCTCCAAACTCAGAGTGATGGGCCACAGCCTCCATGAACAAAGTGTCCACTTTGCTAAAGGCATCTGGCCACCTGTTCTCTGACCTCACAGAGGTCCTGACACTTGTAATCAGACAGACACCCCTTTCACTGTCTCTTGTGATGTCCAGTTTGCCAGGCAAGCTCTGGTTCCTTGCTTGGTGATAGCAGGCAGGAAACCACATGTTTCTAAACCACTAGCCAAGCATCCTCATGAACAGGCAGTGTGCATGGGCCACCTCCTTGAAAGACTGTCTCCCCGCGAAGGCCTAGTTCCATGGGCTCTCGGTGCTTCCTGAGCTCTGCACAGTGGGTGGAGGCTCTCCTCAGGACCAGGTGTACACGAGCATATGTAGAGCTCCCTTTTCTGGGAAACCAAGCAGATGCAATTCCCATGCTGACCAGAGTGACAAGCACGCCTTGGGGACCGAGGGCCGGTGCAGAGTCCCGCGGGGCACCGGGGCTTCAGAGAGTGGAAAAACCCCTAACTTCCCTTCCATGCCCCCGTTTGTTTCCGCTGAGGCAGGAGGAGGCTGCCCGGGAGCAGGTGGGTCCCGGGGCAACGCCTTGCCCACGAAGCACGCCGGGACTCTGCAGGGCGCCGTTGACCGGGCGGCGGAGGGGCGGCGGGGGCGGAGCGGCGGCCAGCGCTGCGGGCTGCGGCCGACAGGGGGCGCGGCGCCCACT